AAGAAAAAAGAAGAAAAAACAAACAAAAATTGGATATTAAATAGGGGAAAAAAGATATTAGATAGTTATAAGAAGATTTCTTGAGAATAGATAAAAGAATTTTTCTTAAAGTTTAAAAGACAGCCTGATGAAAAAAATATTGCGGAAATGGAAAAAAAAAATAGGAAAGCATATTTCTTCTCTAACAAAATCAAAAGTTCGTTGATGGGTTCGGCGAAGGTGTTGCTCGTGAGATTCGTTGGAGTAGGATGTGACATAGGGTGTGGGACGCGAAGGATACGAGAAGGAGATACAGGAGGGAGAATACGTTGAGGCCCTGTTGTGACGTGCGCAGCTTTAACCTCGCCGCGATATATATCCCTTGAACCTGCGCTGGAGCGTATTTTCTGCTTCGTCTCCCCTCCGCTAGCTAGAACGGACCTTTTCGCCCCTCTTCCACCATGTCGTGTGCCAACGATCCCTGTCCTCGGCGTCCTCCTTCCACATTCCTATACGCAGAGCCGTACGTTGCGCCGGAGATGCTCGACTGGGAGATGGAATACGAGAGGCCTTATACAAATCATCGGGCTACCGTCTTACCCGGGGCCCCGTTCTCTTTTTTTTTCCTGCTTCCCCTTTCCGCCCGTTTTTCTCTTTCTACTCTATCTGGCCGCTTCCTTTCTTTAACGCTCGTCATTCCCTCCGTCTTACTCCGTCTTTATACTCCGGCAACTTATTATCTCTCTCATTTATCACATACCTCTCTATCTATGTATTTATCTATTTCTACTTCTTTTGCATGTACATAACACATTGTACATAACGTTTTCTCACTCAATTATTCATATCTGTACACTCAAATCTTTCACACTAAAACTTATCATAAATTGATACCCAAACAGAAAATATCTAATAGCTCCTAACTTTTTCTATTGCTTCTCTAATTGTTATTAAATATTCGCTGTAAGTTGAGTCATCAAATTACAGAAAATGTGAATTTGCGATAAAGGTGAACATTCTTAGAGTACGAATGTTCGACTAAGTAAAATTTCTCAATGAAATAATTAAAATATATTTCTTTAACAGAAATTTTTCAGTGAAATAAAAAAACTTGTACAATATTTCAAAAGATACAAATAAATTTCAGCTATACGGCTATACAGTTTCATCAATGGAGAAAAATCATGGAAAGTGATAAGAAGAAAATAGAGAAAAAAAAATAGAAATCGTAAAATGAAAGAAAAACAAAACAGGAAAAGACGAACTATAGAAAGAATTTCCTTCTAGGAGGCTAAAGCGCATTTGAAGAAATCGGAAGCAAAAGTTGGTCTAGATCGCTTTTAGCAAGACCCACCGCGAATCGCAAGCCATAACGCGCATACAGGGAGTGTGAGCTGCCTTTCTTCTTATACTTGTTTTTCAGGTGCATTTTTTCTTGTCATGCTATGGCTCGCGCGTCTCAAGACCTGCCAACTCAACCGAGTCCGATGATGGTGCTCTGCTGGAATGTAGAAGGGATGGGTGAGGTGGGATCTCGTAGGGCTCTTTGAGGACCCGGGGAGGCTTTATCCAATGGTGGGGGCCACCAGTCGGACCGGCTTGTCACGATTGGTGAGGGTAGCGATGAACGTGAGCCGTATGGTATGCAGAAAAACCTGACGATTAATCAAGAGACTTGGATATCTCGCTAGTTTAATGTTTTCACGATTTCTCTGTTTATATCACTTTCTTCGTCATAGAAAATAGATCCATAACGTAACATGAAACTATCTATTTTTTCGAATAGCCATTTCGATATACGCATTAAATTCTTGTTTTTATATTTTGTATTTTAAATTATAATCAAGAAAGAAAGTTAATTTATTGAAGCTATATTTTTATTAAGGAAGCAATTCTGATCAACTTAATTTTAACATATTATTAAGATCATCTCAAGAGTTTTAAAGATATCCATATTATTAACGAAAAAAAATAAAAATCAATTCTTCTTTAAATAAAATTGCATAATTTCTTACATGAATAAATTCTCTTAATAATTCTATATATCAAAATATTAAATATTAATGTAAATAAGAGTATTTATTTGCAAAAATATTAATTTTATCGGTTTGAAATTTCTCATCATTACTTTATCTATAATATGAAAATGAAAATACACAAATACTCACCGGACAATATTGCCAAACCGAAAAGTTCGCAATCTCGCATACCCTGTTGGCTGAGAAGTGTGCATGTCTGCGTATAAACCTCCTTTACTCTCGACTTAGCCTGAAATAGTAAACGAACTAATTAGCATTAAAATTTCCGGAAACAATTTCTAAATATTCTTCAATTAATTACTTTTACGTTAAGTGACACTCGTTCTCGAGGACATCATTATATAGATATTTCATATTATCTTATTTATAAAAATGAGAATAAGTAATAAATAAATTTTACATTTTATTTAAAAAAAAATATATATATATACACAATGTTATTTCCAAATTCTTTACATTTCAAATCTTTAAATTCAATGCAATTACTTTCCATAACAAAAAAAAATGTTACTTTTTTATTCGTACTCATTGTCAGTTGTAACGAAATTTTATTTTACGTCTTTCCCACAATAATAGGTGTACTGGTAATATTACACCTTTTGATTTGTTCGTAATTGATATTTGCCTCACCTCAACGATGAAGTAGAGAGGATCACCGGGAAGGGCATGAATGGCGAGATAGCGGCTGGGGGGGGGCAGGGGGGGCACCGCTACCACGCATGCTGCATGCTTCATGTCGTCGCCGCTACGCCCAGCGTCCTCACTGTCAACAATCGGTTAACTGTCAGTGGACAATCAGTAGTGTCATTTGAAAAATTCGCATTAATCTATCCTTAATGAGAGAATTCAAAATATAATCATTATTTTATGTTTCTTTCTAATCTCACAATTTTTGTACAAAACTTGTTTTCAAAAGTAGAAAGAAAAAATTTTATGTAAAAGTCGGCCCCTTAAATATTTTATTGAAGATTATAATAAAGCTATGAATCCTGAAGACAATCCAATTCCATTGACAATCGGATTCCATTGACGATCGGTATTCATTGAAACACAACAAAGGAAGATAAGTCGGACGTGTTTGTTTATCTAATCTCTGACTATTATAATTATTACGAGACTTTCTGAAAGGCTGAGTCTTTGGCTAAGTAATACACACGTGCGCAGCATAACTTGTATCGAAATTTTCAATCTCAACTGTAAGAATAAGTTTTATTCTTTTCCTTACAACGATTGTGAATTAGTGCATGTTAACATGGTGTCATATGATTAGAATATGTTAATGAAGTTCAAATAACATGCAGTGATTGAATTTTAAGTGCTGAAAACGTAATCAATTGAAATTCATTGCTGTTTAAATGCTGTATGGTAAATAATAAATCTTTAAGCCGTTAAATTTTGTCACTGCAAACCAGACCGTATTTGTCGATGGATCTCGCAAATGGAAAATTAATTTTAGTAAGTGATGAAAATCATTGAAAAGCAATTGAGATTTTCACCATACACAGCTTTTATGGATAATGAATCTCATTTCATCTCGTTTTTAGTATTTAAAAATCCGCGTTGTTTGAACTTCAACGTCATATCCTCATCACACGATGTTACGAGTCACAACTGTTATAAGGAAAGGAAACTTGCTACAATTGAAAGTCTACAACCTGTTTACTTATCAGCTGTCCTTTGTATTTCAAGTAGGGCTCCTACAGACGAGAAACTTTGTAGCGCCACAATCGAAATGCCACGCCGACCTATTTATATTCATACAGTTATATTCTGTAGTGCTACAGAAGTGAATATTTGTGACACTTTTCTCCATAGCTCCGTATGAACGGATTGGCGTTTTCAATTGTGGCGCTATAAAGTCGCTTGTCTATAGAAGCCCTTATTGAAGACGATTGGTTCGTTATAATTAGCCTCAAAATACTAATTTTATATAAAATGTCCTGAATATTCTCGAATAAAGAGTACAAGTTTCTCTTTCACAATTTGAACTTATTATTGCAGAAATTATATAATACTATAAATTCATATTCTGTTTACTATTCGTTCGAGAATATTCATAAACATTCTTTCCCTGAAAATATCTAATATTTTATATTTCTATATATTATTATAATAAATTTTCATTATTTCTAAATATTTTGTTATTAAGAGAAAAATAAATTAAGAAAAAAAGATTGTAGAAATTCGGATAAATATTTTGAAGAAGTAATATGTACATTTAAGTATTATTGTACAAAAAAAATAGGAAATAATTATAAAATGACTGTGTATTTATCCAATCTCTATATCGAATAATAAGGCTTTAAAGAAATAAATTAAAATAAGCCAATATAAGTCGACACTTCAGACGGTAATGTATAAAACTTATATTATTATAATAATTAATAATTACGTTTCTAGACGGAATTACTAGATCCATTATTATATCTCGAACTCTCTTCTTACTGAATTATGACTCCTTTATCCTGTGTTTATTTATGATACTAATAATTATAAATATATTTACTGATTCACTTGTCCTGGCGCGCTTTATTAGTTAACTCTTCGAAATAAGCGTTTTACCAGATATACGTACACTCTATATTTAACAACTCATAGGATCTCGGATCTTATAATGTAAGTTTTGGATACAGTTTGTAAATTAAACTGAAATCTATCATTTAATAAATTTTTAGTTTTAATATCATTATCGAAGTACATATTCTGTCAAACACAATAGAAGTTGAAATTTTTATCTATAGTTACTTCTGATCAAAGTTTTGACTTTATACTCACATTTATATTCTCCGGTTTTAAAGCGTCTTATTTATATTATATCTCGTTTATATTATATAGAAATTTAATGTAATGCTCAGTACGTAAAATTGTTACTATTTATTTGTTACACTGGAAATGTATAATTAATTATTATAATACACAAGTTTTATTACCAATATTGGCTTACATTGACTTGCATTATTGACTTATTTTGATTTGTGTATTCTTTGATAATGAGACATATATAGATTAGATCACGTCAGAGATTATAAATATGCTGTACGTGCTTACGATACGTACATATTACACGTAACGACAAGTATTACACATTGATAAGAAACACATATCCCAGACAGCATTTGTCAGGTTTTAAAAATGAAGTAAAGTCCATAATTATTTCCAGAATGAGTTATTCAAGAGCAAAATCGTACGTTATGATTTGTTTTTAATTGGTAATATAGTGAATAGAATTGTGACTAACATCATGGCTACATTAACTGCAGCGGATTATGCAGTGATTGGTGCATTAATTTTAATCAGTTCCGGCATCGGTGTATATTATTGGCTTATCGGTGGCCGACAGAAGTCGACTGAGGTAATTAAATCATTTTTTTTTATGTCACGCATTGCATTTTCATATTTTATATCACACGATATTGCACTATGCTTTGATAACTTTTAACTTTAATTTTTCGTCTGATTTATATTATTAATATAATATTAATATTTTCTCAGTAAAAATACCTAGATATTAAAATAAAATAGATGAAGTAAAATAGCTCTTCTTGAATGTACTTCTGTAGGAATATTTTATGGCCAACAAGTCAATGCGAATGATCCCAGTAGCGATAGGTTTGATGGTTTCATATTTATCAGCAGTCAGTCTACTTGGAGTGAGCTCTGAAAATTACGTGTACGGTACACAGTACGCTGTGATCAACATCTCTTATGGCCTTGCCACACCGTTCGCAGCTTATTTTTATTTACCGGTATTTTTTAAACTAGGCACTGCAAGCACTTTCGAGGTAAAAAGCATTAATACCATTATGCAAAATTCAAGAATAATTATTATGTTAAAAATAATCTTTAGTAATTACAAATATCTAATTATATTTAAAATATTTTTGTTTCATATCAGTTGTTTGGTCTAATAAAATGCTTGATGTTCTTTATTATTATTAGCTTAAATTATATAAAAAAGTATGTTTATGTATATAAATAAAATTTAAAAACACATACATACATACATATATATATATATATATAGCAAAAAATATTGTTAGCAAAAAAATTATTTCTGGAACTAAAAAAAAATGAAATGTTTTATATTTTTTATTTTATTTTTTTTTTTAAATTAACATAACTATAATTGATAATTTTGAAAATAGCACTAGTATTAGTATTGCTTTAAAATTTTGTTGATTAAAATTAATCTAATGCAATTATATAAATATCTGTTGCAGTATCTACAGAAGCGTTTCGGTACGACTACCCGATTAATAGCCAGTTTTGCCTTTTTGCTCCAATTGCTTTTGTACAGCGGTGTGGTGTTATATGCACCTGCATTGGCTTTAGAAGCTACCACCGGTCTTTCAACGACCGCAAGTGTGATTGGTTTAGGACTCATCTGCACTTTCTATTCGACGATCGGAGGCATCAAGGCGGTACTTATCACCGATGTTTTTCAGGGTCTGTTAATGCTGATTGCCGTTGTCACAGTTATTGTTACCGCAACAGTTGCTACTGGTGGTCTAGACCGAATTTGGCAGATTGCCGAAGAAGGATCCCGATTGGAATTCAACAAGTAAATATCTGAATGACGTAAAAGAGAGTCCTTCAAAAAATGTCATTGTATTTCTTTCTAAATCATTCATATTGTATTTCTATACAAATTTTGGTTATTAGACATATATCTTTATGGGAATATATATTCTACTTTACATAATTTCACTTAAAGAGAGTGAATCATGAATTCCTCAATTTTGTTTTTTTATTGCAAAAGATTAATGTTTTTATGGTAGAAGAAATTATCGCATCGACTATACTGAATTTTTATTTTATTTTTTATTCTATTAAAAAATATGGTCGTAAGAGAATAACTGCGATAAAAAGAAACAAAATTCGGCTAAAGTGTGTTTGTAATTTCGTAATTTTCTAATTAAACTAAAAATTGAAAAAAAAACTGTTGTTAAATAATTGAAAGTAACATATTCATGATTGAATAAAATGAATAAAATAAAGTTGCCAACGCAAAAGCACAGGATTTATTTATTTTAATTTTTTACGTATGTTGCAGCATCTCTCCAGATCCAACTGTACGACATACTTGGTGGAGTTTGACACTTGGTGGTTTCTTTACTTACCTTTCCTTGTATAGCGTTAATCAAGTTCAGGTTCAAAGAATGCTGACTGTCAGGTAAAGCGAGATTGACATAATTTCCAATCAAATGCGAATTAATCCAGTCCAAAAATATTACATATAAAGCATAAAATTCTTTAACAGAATTCTTCTTTCCATATTTTTATAAATTTAAAAACATGAAAATTAGCTCATTAAAAATCTGATACTTAAATATGCAAAGTATACCTTGTATTTTTGTGAATAATGTATTATTATTTAAAAATTAATGCATTATTCATAAAATACAAAATATATTTTGTTATCATTTATTACTATAGAATTTTATTATTCCTATATATTACTAGAATTATTATTCTGATATTATTTTTCTTACTGATGCACTTATGATTCGTTATCTCGTAATAACAAATTTTATAAACCTCCATTTGACGGCTGTGGGAAAGATCAAATTTTCAAATTATTATAATTATTATCGTCAAATTTTCCATATCACCAGAACATCTCTATTTAACACTATTTTGATTTTATTAGCAATCTAGGAACTGCTCAGCGTTCATTATGGTGGAGCTGGCCGATGGCAACGATCATGTCGCTTACTTTGTGCTTTTCTGGACTAGCGATATATGCAAAATATCGCAACTGTGATCCACTCACAGAAGGCAGGATCAGTTCAAATGATCAATTGATGCCGTTATATGTAATGGACATGCTGTCAGATTATCCTGGTGTGCCTGGGCTTTTCATAGCCGGAATTTTTAGTGCCGGACTCAGTACCATCTCGGCCACGATTAATTCTCTTTCTGCTGTTATTCTTGAAGATTATATCAAGCCTCTCTGGCATATAAGGTAAGAATCATGATAGCGTGAAAAAATTGTATAACATCATATAACAGAGTCATTCCGGAAAACGGCCTAGTTTCAAGGTAACCTGAATCCGTTGAAGAGTGCTCATATCATGTTATGCAGAAACATATTAAAACATTATAAGAAGCACATTTACTTTGTAGAAAATTAAAAAGTATCGTACAGGATACATTCCCTCTTCGTTCTTCCTTTTCTCCCTCTTTTAAGAATTATATATCAATCACAAGAAATAATAAAATCTTTGATACTCTAGAGCAAAGCGCGAATAATAAATTGATTACAGAAACAAGGACCTATCTGCTACAACGTCAATAATCATTAGCAAAATTTTGGCTCTTGTAGTTGGACTATCGTGTGTGGCAGTGGGTTTTCTGGCACAATATCTCGGTGGATTGCTGCAGGTATATAAACTTTGCTTTCAGTACTAACAATAAGTCACATAATAAAATGAAAATATATTAAGCGAGAAATGATAATTAATCATTAAAAAAGTGATTTAAATCATTCAAAAATCGATTCTACATTTATTAATAAATTTGTCATTCACTCTTAGGGAAGTTACCCAGATGTCCAATTAGTTTTGAAAAAGTAACGATTGGAAGTTGTAGTATCTTATCTTTTATTGACTAAAATGAGTGCTATTCACTCGGAAAATTTGATATTCGTTAAAAGAATGGAGTTAAAATTCGCTGTAAATGGCTCTGATGAAATGGGTTTAAATGAATTTTTTTTACTTTTTAGATTTTTCTATATATGTATGAGTAATATATGTAAGTGAAATAGAAAGGAAAACTTGGATCTCGATTCCAGTGATAGTTGAAAATTTTTTTATTTATACCTCCCAAAAATTTGAATAATATTTGGGTATGAACACTTATAAAGTTGTACGAATGTATATACATACAAAAATACATATATTTTTTTACTTATACATCCACTTACATATATTACTCACGTATATTTCGTATATTATGTACGTAGAAAACCAAAAAGTAAAAAAATTATTAAAAAATGTCATTTAAACTCATTTTCGGAGCAGCTTATAGCGGACTTTGAATCTATATATATTCCTCTAACAAATATCAAATTTTCCGAGCGAATGGTACTCATTTTAATTAATAGAAAATAGGATACTATAACTTCTGATCATTACTTTTTCAAAACTAATTGGACATCTGGGTAACTTCCCTTATTAAACTAATTTGCGGGTTTCAGATAGGTAATCTTTTATGAAATTAAATCTTTAATCGTAGAATTTCTTTCTCAACAAAATATATTTTTTCACAGGCAGCTCTGACGATCTTTGGTGTCGTAGGTGGACCTATGTTGGGTTTATACACGCTTGGAATGTTTCTCCCATCGTGCAACCAAAGGGGCGCGATTGCAGGCTTCATTCTTAGTCTCATGTTTTCTTTGTGGATAGGATTTGGACAGCCGAAACCGCCGATTCCACGGTTGAATGTCTCAACAGACGATTGTGGATTCAATAATACTATTATGTTTCGCGATGGGAAATCGTTGATTTACACAAATTCACAATATGAACTTCAGTAAGTAAATATTTAAGTATACTGAAAAAAAATTACTTATTTAAGATTTTTTTAATCTTAAATATCTCTTTGAATAGTACTAGGTAAACATTTACTTACGGTAAATAAATGTTTATTTAATAAAAAAAATGATAGTTAAATCAAATTAATGGTTTTTGAATCAAATAAATATATGTTTACATTTAGTAAATATTTATTTAGAACTATTCAAAATAAATAATATTTAAAACAAATATTAAAATTTAATATTTTTTTCAATGTAGATGTAATTTTATTCATATTACTCAGACTTCAATTCTAAGTTTGGTAGAAGCTTCAGTTAGAAAAATAGTTAACAACATGAAAAAATAACTTGTTTCGAGATATATAAGAAAAAATGTCCTTTTAATTTCAAATTTTTTGATGTTATATCTTAATATTGCAATATATTTGCAGTGATGAAAAAAAAACATGAACTTTAACTATTTCTTATTTACAGAATGGAGAAAGATAAATCCTATTTCTATCTTTATCGCATATCGTATATGTGGTACTGTCCACTGGGATTTCTCATTGCTATAATCACAGGGTGGATCGTCAGTTGGATTACAAGGTGGATTTTTAAGGAAAGCTCTACTGAAATCGATTTGAATTTGCTAAGTCCGATTGTGGCAAATCAAAAACAAAAAAGAAAAAAAGTAGAATATCGTAACACAATAAAATTTAATGAATATTGAGGATATATATATATATATATATATATATATATATAAAACCTCGTTCTTATAAATAATTAAAAAAAAGAATTTAAATATTTCCTGTTTGTAAAGATATATTACTTAAGTATTTATATCTCGCGTACAATAAATTTCATTAAAATAATATTCATGTCATAACATAGAAATAGATAATTAATATGTGTTATAAAAAAAATATATATATGTGTATATTTACATAGTAAATACATACAACATGTATCAACAAACTTTGAACTTTCTTCTTGTAAGGTCCAATTGAGATAACATCAAAATGGTATAGAAATATAAAAATTCCTGATCCAACAATTTAAATATGTAAATTTGTTATACATTTTATTTAGTCTAACAAATAAATTGAAAAATAAAAAGTTTTTTGTTTTATATTTTCGATTTTTTCTTACAAAATTATCTATTATTTTTTTCTTAAGACCGCAGTTTAGGATATTCTGTATATACCATATTTTTTTAAGTATTTGTGCCTTTTCATGAAATTCGAAAGTAGATAATAACTGCATAATAATTATACATTAGACAATTATATTGGGTTAACCATCAACACCATCTAGTGACAAAAAACCGCGGATACTTTTTAGATGACCCAATATATTTGTGCCAATTCCAATATTTCTCTATATATAATCAAGAACATCATAAACATTTTTCTCAACGAAAATGATCAGATTGGGCCATTTCACACTGCGTGAAAATACCAGCTGGGAGTCTCACGCTCGCGACGTACAGACATAAACACTATACGGACTACAAACTGCGCGCTGTACACCACTATACACTTTACCGAAACGTTCGCAAATCACGATGGAATGCCGCCAGACTGGTGTGAGCGCGCGCGCGCCATACGGTGACACACAGAGCAAACGCAAGCAATGACCTGCGTCATGCAGTTCTTACGTAAGGAAATAATACCAAAATAAAGTACCTACCAAAATAACAAATTTTGAAAATCTATGTCAGGCAAAGAGGGAATTGTAAAAATTTCTTTTTGCAGATAACGTATCATAAGTAATGCGATGATAGCACAATGTACATATATCTGCATAGATGACGCAGCAGACGATACTTTGCGCAGTAAATTAAGAAATTTTCGATTACTGCTTATGAAAAATTCTTAAGATCAGAGAAAAAGATTTCATAGCTTCTTTTCCTTTTTTTTTTTTTTTTAAGTAAAGTTGCCGCAATAAACTGCGCTTATCGTAGCAGTGTGAAAATACCTTCCTTTATAATCAACGAAAGAAAGCTCTGTGCAATTGGACGAACAACGGGAATGAGAAAATAAAGATGTCGTTCAAGTTGTCGGGCGCGAAATGGCTACCGGTTTTGTGCATTTCTTGCAGGAATACATTGCTCATTTTTACTTCTTGACTTAAATTAAAATCAATCTGTTGTAGTCAAGTTATAATCACGTTTGTCAAAGTAACGTTACGCAAATATTTTGAAACAACTGTCAACGTTTTGTTGCATTCTTGAGATGAGTTATAAGTATAAAAGCAACTTTGGATTATCCAGGAAAACAGCTTAGTATATGTCTTAATATCAAAGTAATATTGAAATGTTTTAATATTAAAATGTAAATTACTATTTCATGATCAAATCTTATTGTACAATAATAAGTATAATATTTAATAAATTTGTGCTTTATTTTGACAAATAAGACGATGCTTATTTAAGTTGTCCAAGATTTAGACGAATGTCCATAAATCAAATATAAACCAAATAGAATTATCAAGGAAAACATAAATATACAATAGATTCAGCATTAAAAAATGTTACTGTCTAAAGGTATCGAATTTGAAGCTAATTATAAAGCTATGATTTTATATCTTATCTGAACTGAACTAAATCTGATTTAGATATGCTTGTGACATAATTCTGTCTCGACATAAAACTATTTATTTATCAATCAAAACTATATGTATTTAGTTAGAAAAAGTAAATAAATAGCTATAAGTTGAACTTATCCCAATCATGTTGTGCTTATCCTTGGCAAACTGATATGATTTAAACTCAATGTCTTGGAGTTTATGAAAAATTATTATTGTCAACATTTTTATCTAAAGAAGAGAGATAACAAATACGTAATGACATATTAAAAAATAAAAAATTTCGTATGCATTTGTGAAAATTTTTTTCAAAAAAACAACACTCAATTTTACAAGAAATACGATAATATTCTATCTATATAATAAACACATATATGTATATATGAAAAAACCTGTATATACATAGTTTATGACATTACTGTGCATAACTGTAATATATGCGGATATGACTCCTCTAACGTTCGCGGCAATTAAGTAGAATTACCGAGTTGCGGTACCATAGTCACAAGTTGTTCATTACAATGTGCATTCTTCGTATAAAACAAATCTTTCTTTCGACGCACATAAAAATTGCTCAAATAAAAACAATAATGTAGATAATAAGTTAAGGAATTCGTTATTGATACATAACAACATGAGAAAATAACTCGATGGTTTATCTATTGATCCTAGCTATGTTTGCCATTTGAAATCATTGATGATGATTGCTCATATCAATATCAAAGTTTTAATACATAGTAGATACAATTTTGTTTTTAAAGTGCCACGAATATATATACCCATGTTTTCGCAGAGCTCTCTTTCGTAACAATACAAGTACTCTCATCGCAATAATTACAAGTAAAATTTCATATTCTTTGTTAGCATATCCTTTGTTCAAATATACATAGAATAAAATGTATTTAAGAAGAAAATCAAAGAGAGAATAACTTAACAACATTATAAAAGGATCCCATCGCATTTGTATGATTCATTGTGTGATTCATTGTCGAGCCATTTTATTTAAGTTAAGCGGTGAATGATAAATTCGGAAGTGATATATTTGGACAGAATAAATTCAAAAAAATACTTTTGTAATTAAATTATATAACAGAAAGAAAAATTATTATCAATTAAAAAACATTAATTTAAAAAAAGAGAAGAACTTACCTAGATTCCTTCGTCTTCCGCCTACGATATCACGAATCCACCTGCAACATACATGCGAAAATTAGTTGTAAATCATCTTGATTGTAACAACGCTTTGGTGGCAAATAGTTGTAATTTTCTTAATTGACTCCAAGAGAAAGGGATGGAAGAAAAAGGAATGTTAATCGCAGCACTAGCCGTGCTCTCGAGAACAACGCGCGCGGTAGTTTAGACAATATGATCGCCTTAGAGAACTCGTCGTAGTTTTATTCCTTCGTTTATATTGGCCCCTTTGCAGGGATTGATTCAAGCCTTGAGAAGAGCAGACTGTACGTTATGGATTAAGCGCATAGTCATCGCGCGCGGTCGAGACGAAATCGAAAGAGTGGATCCGCATGGGACGCGTAGCTCGGGAGCTCGGGAGCTTGTCATTATATTCACATTATAATCTCATCAGGATATTCCTCTGCTTAGTCGGACAGCTACGAAAATACGAAGCCATATTACCTGTGCCCTGCCCTACCTGTTCTGCCCTACCCTGCCTTGTCTCGTCCCGCATGCTTCGCTGCTTAAAAGATTCAATAGCTTTACTTACAAAGAATCTCTCTTAATAATCAAATTATATTTTTAAATCATCAATATCATATTACTTATCTTATGTTCAAATTTTTCGCATTTTCTTATTCAATCTTAATTATATTAATATCATAATTACAAACAATATATAATTCTCAATAAAAAAAGGATTTATCCTTTAATCAAAATTTTAGATTTTGTAGATAACAAAGTATCTACTCCTTCTGTCTCTTTATTCTACTTTTTTATAAACTGATAATCATTATTTAAAGTTGCAAAACATCTGGATATTATACGAAAAAATTTTCCAACAATATTAATAATTTTCTTCAATAAAATACTGAACTTTTTAATTTGCATTTTGATATTTGCTTGGAATTGGACAACAAAATGTTTGGACAACAAAATAGTCACGAATTATCGAAATTACTTTATATTTCCGTCTTATCCTTTCACGTAATTTCACTTTCCCGCTCTTGTAACATAATCATTAATGGATCACCCTATATTATGCAAAGCCGTAGAGAATCGCGATCAAAACGATCTTCTATTTTATCCATTTTCCTTGTCATTGCTTACGCGCCGGTGAAAGCCATCGACGATAACCTACTCCGATGGCAGCAACAGTTGCAGCTAGCAGCAGCCAACTTCGCGAAAGGAGGAATCCCAATTACGCTTGAGCATGCACTCTGTTGTATACAGTACACTTGCGAGATACTTGCAAAATAATGCGCATGCTGGTTTACTTTGTCGGAAGCGTGCGGTCGCAGTATGAGAAGAGGAAGGGATAGAAATAGTGATGGGCTTCTCAAGAATACATGACAATTGTTCGAATATATGTAACAAATTTTCAAAATGTTCAATTATTTTAAATCGAAAGATTTCCGATAACGTTGGAAGTGTTTTATAAATATTATATTTCAAAAATATATTCATTTTTTAAATAATTTTTTACATTATTATTTTAATTTTTATTTCAGAGTTTAGACAGATAGTTAGACAAATAATAATTTCAAAGCAATGTAAAAGTTTTAGATAAACACACTTCTAGGAAATATTTCCTAGGTGTTCAAAAGTTTTAAGCATTTGAACCTTTAATTACTTAAAATTTATTAAGACTTTAACAAATTTTTTATTTTGTGTAACATTTAAAAAAAAAATTTTCAAAATTTTTTTACGAAAAAATTATTAAAATATAAAAATTCTCAAAAAAAGATTCAAATTCTTATCACTGAATGGAGGTTGTAAAAAAAAGTCGGATGAACGGAAGGAAATAAAGAAAAGGAGGAAGAGCGAGAGAAAGAGAAGAAGAAAAGAGAAAGAGAGATAGGTGTAAAAGAAGATACAGAATGAATAGAAGGAAAAATAGTTAAAGAAGAAGAAGAAAAGGATAGATAAAGATAATTCTTCGCACAGCTGTTTCACCTTTCTCCTTCT